GACATACACTAAACTTTCTTCTTTTATATATGTACGCATGCACACACAAAAACGTGCTACATGTTACCTCACTTTTTCTGAATAAGTTTTCCATTACATTTTTAAGGCAAACGTTGAAGATTTAAGTCTCTCAAGGAATATATATACAATATATGTATATGCAGCTCTTAAACACTTGAAAATTTAGTTTTAATATTATTAGGGGACTCAACTTGAAGGTTCCTTTATCGATTATCATAGCAACCATTGGAACCAGGGCTCCAGGACTTCAAGTGATCTCGAGTTTAATTCGGTCTTAAATATAAAGATACCATAGCATAGATAATATAGTTAAACCTTGATAATTTGTAACCCACTAAATTAAAAATCGCGATAAATAAAAAAAAAATCGTATTCCCTTTAAAAAAAATCGTTTTCAAGAATTATCAATAATTTGAATTTCTTTGTAAATCGAAATCGATACTTCGAATTATCGATATTCTAATGTATTCCATCGAAAGCCAAGCTTTACAGCTTTTTAAAAAAATGCAAATAGTACTGCAGGAATCCCATTACAAAGTATATCGATATTTATTGATAGGAAGATAAACAGTTGCGTCAAATTCGAAGTCGCTCAATCCACTTTATGCAAATATTATGCAGGGTATGCAGCCAGCACCCAAATGGGCAGCAGCTAAAATAGCAAACCCCACAAAGACGAAAAGCATAGATAAATACACAAATGTTTGCAGATGAGGCTGGTGCTGCGAGTGGTGCGGTGGTGCGAGTGGTGCGGTGGTGCTGCAAAGGGTTGTGTGTACGGCCAACTGGATTTGCTGAATGCACGAAAAATATAAAATGAGAGAAACTCGTCGACTGCCCGTTGGATTTGGTCAGCGTTGCGCGGCAAAGTATGCTACGCTTTTTTGCTGCTCTTCATCTGCTTCTTCTTCGTCTCCTTTAGTTTCTCTCGCTCCTTGTTTATCTCTTGTGCTGCGTTTTTTGTTTTCGCCCTGTTTGGCTGTGCCCATCTAGGCAAATTGCAGCATCAACAACAACAACAATAATAATAGTATCATCATCATCATCATCATCCGCAGCATTGCATCACTGAGAGCAAAAACAAAAGGAAGCAAAAAAGCAACACAAACAGCTGCTAAGCTGCTTTGCCAGTTGCCAGTTGCCAATTGCCGGCTTTACAGTGGCTGCAAACGTATGCAGACGACCAGGAATATTCATTTACAATTGACATTACAACTATTTGGGCTGGCGAAAATGAAGAGCTCTTCATTTAGTTAACCTTGCAAATGCTTATAAGGCCTAACTAAATAAATTTTATTTTATATAATAACAAAAAATATGCCAAGCTGCTTTTGAAACATTTAAAAACTTAGCCCGTTCAAACTCAGCCCCGTTCTAACAAAATATCTTTTGGTATTATAAATGTATCCAAAGCATAGCTGCATTTATCGAATTCCAAATATTAAATGAGTTAAGTCCATATCATACATAGCCTTATATGCCTAACCTAAGAGATTCAATTCTATGCTCCTCCAGCTATTGAAAGATTCTACTTTACTAGTAATCTATGCATGTGAATGAATATATGTGAATGTGTTTGTCTTCAGTTTAGCATTGATCTTTGCTCTTCTGAACTCCGACTCATGATTAAATTCATCCCCCAAATCTAGTGCATCTATCTGTCAGAGAGACTCCGCGCTGTTCTGTTGTTTTACTCACTCTCACTCTCACTCTCTCTGTCTCTTTCTGCCTCTCTTACATATCTTTATCGCTGGGTTTATTTGGGTTAAGGCTGGTCTGCGTATATATAAAGTCCATACATGGAGCCCTCATCTATATATATCACACTACCAGTTAGTCGTTGAGTGTACAGGGCAGTCCATATTCCAGTAAGCGATCTGGCATCTCTGTCAAAATAAGGGTGGCAGATGGGTCTGTCGAATATGGCCAGTCCTGTATACGATCTTTGTGCATGTTCATGCCTGAACAGCATAGCTGCTCCCAATTTAAGTGATTCTTCTAAGTCTAACACTTCAAAAAATCTAATCATATCTGGACATCTCTACTCTCTTATTTTCACTCTTATAAGTGTATCTAGACTCAAGTGTAATGAAAGCTGCTTAATCTGTAACCTCAAAGCTTTTTTCATTCAATTTCTACGGGATATTTACTTGCGCTTCGAAAAGCTTTCAGACAAAGTGCTTCGCGTACTTCAAGCTGATTGACCTTGAGCTTAAATGAGCTATGATGCGTTTTATGATTTAAGGCTTATGATTTTCTCTATTGAGCATTCAAAGTAGTTCAGATCATATCACATTATATTCTTTTTTACATTACTATGATTATTTATTTAAATAAAGTTAAGCTTGATATGTTATTACTCTCGAATTTATTTAGCCAAACTCTATTATCAGATGTCAATTCAGCTGTCGACTCTGTCACTTCTTCTTAAACGTTTTATTACTCTGAGCTGAATTGCTATTTTGCACCACTGTGCAGCTTATTGAGAGGGGCATGGCCGTAGAAGTGTGGCAGTCCAGAGAGCGCTATGCGTGGGGCGACGGGGCAAATGGGGCGCTTTCTGTAGTCGCAGCTCATATGCACATTTATGCAAAATACCAAACAAAAGGTCAGAGAGGGCGAGGGTGCGGAAGGGAATGCTGGGATGTTGGGATACTGTAAAGGCTGCCACACTGCGGTCGCAATTATTGCCCTCTGACAGTGGGCGTGTGTGTGTGTGTCTGTGTGTGTCTATGTGTGCGTTTGGCAATTACAACTATATCACAGATGAGAATGCCATTTCACACGGAAATTATTCACAAAAAGAAATAAATGTTGCAAGCCATTCGCTAATTATAAATCTGAATAATTCACGGCGATAAATAAAACCGCCTGCAACAGCAACAGTAGTCGCACCTGCAGCAGGTGTTTGCCCACCTGTCGCCCCTGCCAACCCCCCGCACATGCATACATACTTGATACAAACTCACGAATATTTCATGCGCGACATATTCAAATTGAGCTCACATATGGCTGAAATCCATTGCAATTTAGTGTTTGCATTTCTTGTTTGGCCGTTTTGCAACACTAATTCTGATTGAAAACATGAAAAATCGAAAAAAAAGAAAGGAATCAGTTACTTTAGCAGATTTAAAATTGAAAACTTGACAAACAAATTAATGTTCAGCTATTACAAATATTGTAGAGTTCAGATACTTCACGTGCTTCAGATTCTCATTTGAGATAATCTGAAAATGATTGAATATTTTAGGACCATGAACGGGCATTATGCAGCAGCTTATAAACCGACTTCTACATTTTTACTGGTGCCATAATCAAATTAACAGTATGTATATTTAGTCAAATATTATTAGGGTTGTCGAAAATATATCGAAATATCAATCTATCGATATTTTTTGTTTAAATAAAACTATTGACATCGGGATATTTTTTTGGGCAAATTTCGAATCATTTTTGCTATATTTTTATATATTTGAACAAGCGTGAAAAAAAAAAAATACCTATCCCCCGCTGGTAGCTCAGTGCCTTTAGTTCGAATTGCTTCGGCAATAAAACGTGTTGTCAGCGATATAGGAAGTCATATGACGGATACTCAAATGACAGAACGCGTTTTTATTTATTTTTTTTTTTTAATATCATCGATACGATATTTTAAGAACTTTCGATGTTATATCATTATAGAAAAATATGAAAAAATAATATCCCAAGCTAGACTGACCTAAGTAGCTTACTTCGTGGTGTTTTTCTTGTTTCCGACTAGAAGATAACTCTGAGTATATGATAACTATGCTCTATTCAATTTTTTTTTAATTCAACTCTATACTCTTTAATAGATTGGATATATTTGCAATTGAAATTTTAGGAATTTAACAGCATTTCGTAGCCGATATCTAAATTATAAAAAAAATCACAATTTTATCAAATAAACATAAACAGAGGGAGGGGCAGACTGACTGACAAAAAGACAAATGGGCCTATCAAGAATACTATGCCTCCTTCTGCCTGTAACATACAATAGAAAAAAATTTAAAAAGAATAAAAAAACAATATACCTTGATTTCCCATTTTCAGTGAGATCAGGGTATAAAAGGAAAGCCTCAGAGCAAAAGGAAATGAAGTGAAAAACAATTATAGCTAATTACTTTAAAAGGCTTGTCAATAGCTCACTTAATACCCTTTACGTAAAAAAAAATGAAAAACTTTTAAATGCTTTACAGCAAATCGAAAGTCATAAAAAAAAAAAAAACAACGAAAAAACTTTTAAATTGTCAACGCTGGAAATCGGATTATGCTTGGGCAATCGCATCATTCGATTGTGTCTAAAGTGGCGTCCTGTCAGCTAACCCATGGCTAAGCCCGCCCGGCCCCCTCTGCAGTGTGCAGCCTCCACGCCCCATTTTGCAGTGGCATTTCTGCCTGCTTCCGTCGGCGAATGGCGTTCAATTAATGGCGATTCCTGCGCGCTCTGTTGCCTGCTTACACACACGACAGCTTTAATCCGGCGCACTCTGCCACCCACACAAGTCACGGCGCTCAGCGCTCAGCGCCCAGCGATTAACGTGCCACCTGCCACCGACCGACGCGGAGTGGGAGTCAACATGCGACACGCACTTGCGTTAAGCCCTTTGATATGTAATCCGGATTTCATTACAATTTTACCAATGCAATCCATAAAGCGGCTGCAGTTCTCTTGTCAATTGCGGCATACAGCCCAGTGTTTGCCCCTCAAGCCTGGAGCCATGCCCATTGGCCCCTGGCCCTTGCCTCCTGCCAGAATATGACAGCTTAACCCCGCTCAGGCAAGCAATAAGCTATCGATTGTGGCTTATACCCGGCCCAACAACCCACACGCTGTTCGACTGTTCGATTCTCTTTCCAGAATAATACCCTGTAACTATCCACTGATCTGCAACACAAGAGAGCTGTAGAAGACTGGCCTAGGCCATAAGCATTCAGATCTTTCAACTTGAGAACACAACCATAAATATTTGTAGATCTTATTACAGGACATCAGAGCTTTAGAGCTTTGCATTTTCTGTTGCTCTCAACTGTTCATTGTTCATTGTTCATTTATCGATATATATCGATCGTAATGGATATCCAAATCACATAAGGCATTAAAGATGAATCTATAAAATGATTGATCTGTGGCATACATATCCTCTGAGTTAAAAATCCATTTAGAGATTTCGTACTAGGTACATATATAGTATATACGAAATATTCGAAGTAAAATTTGCTTCCTTTCGATACCTAATTGATTTATATATTGATATGAATGGTGAATGATTTTTATCGATCTGATTAGTCTATCGTATGCTATCTATTGATATGGATGGTAATTCATGTAATCCATATGAATAAAAATACACATGTACATGTAGATGTAAATTGATTGTTTTATATTACTATTATATATACTACATACTACTATATATATTTCGATATGAATGAATTATTATATATTTATCCATATACGTGAATATTTCTTATAAATGTATGCCTGATTTAAAATATATTTACACCTATATTTATATTCCTTGATCTGTTATACTCTACTTGTATTGTATTATTCGTTTCCAAATACTTGGTAACTTAATTGAAGTAGTTCAAGTACAACTCCTCTCCATTTCAATACACCCATAGAGTAGGTAAATATTAATCTCCACCTGCTTATCGCATTCAGTTTCTGCAAAGCGCAAAATGAAGTCAGTTTCCAGTTCTTATGCAGATATATCGATATATAAATGCTTTGTTGAATGCTATCGATTTGTCAATCAATAATATGATTGAGGACCGTGCCAAGCAACAAGTTGTTTTCATCCATAGCTAGCATAACTAGCTCCCTTTAATGGGTATGTCTGAGTAGATAGATGTTCAGGTAATATATCCCATAGTGCTATAAATATTCCCTATACTCCTACTATTTATATCACATGATTCACATATGCTTATTGCTAATAGATCGAGAGTTGAGTTCTTGAGGGTAAACTTCAGTACTTGACAAGTTTCGCCTTCTTTAAGTGCCTGGCAGAAACGCAGATGCTACCGCCCAAGTCCCCCGGCCCCGCCTCCGCCTCCGCCTCAATAGAAAATGTTCCATACAAAACATTCAGATGGAAATTCTTTTCAAATTTTTGAAGTGACATCAGGTTTCAGTTCGCAACATTTTGCAAAGATGTGTATGTATGTGTGTATGTATGTGTGTATGTATGTATGTATGTGTTGTTGAATGGTAAAATGTTGCGCAAATCAATTGTTGCACCTTGTTGCATGTTGCTGTTGCTGTTGCTGTTGGTGCAACCTACAGTTCTTTATTGGCCAGTTGCAGCATTCACTTCGCATTGATTGCCTTGCCTTGCCTTGCCCTAAGTACAGCAGCTGCCTCAAGTATGCGCTCGCGTATGTGTGTGTGTGTGTGTGTGTGTGTGTGTGTGTGTGTGTGTGTGTGTGTG